ATATATATATACGGTGTTTATTCTACTTAAAACGAAAATATGTTTAAACACGTTATATTATGCGAATATTTTTTAGTTCAATTAGRTACGTCGAAATATTCTTCAGTTACATTCYATATTGAAGACTAATTACAAAGTTATAAACGAAGCTACCATTAATTGCACGACTCTGTAATATTTTGTTGACAACATAATATTATTATGGTATGATATGAAATGAATCTCTCASTACTTATTTATTAACAGTCCATCTCARCTTACTAAGTTGTTTTAAAATATATACGTATAAGCCTATTAATAAAATTATTTTTTTTTACTAATATATAAAATATATTTATATAAATTATAGATATTTCAGGTTTACTGTTATACAGTACTACAGTGTACTCAATCTTAAGTAATGTCGTCAGTTCGTCACGATAATATCATACAAAATAATTAAAAATATACGAGTATAATAGGTAGATACCTACATATATCTATTGATCACAAATCGTTATAATTTATGGTTAATTAATAAATAAATCATCACCGTGGTAAAATATGATGTGTCTCATATTCTCATCCCATACCCGACGAAACGTGGTATAATATAACAAAAACAGTAAAAACAAAAAAAAAAGTATAATTATGCGTATAATCCGCCTGTCAAAATTACTATCCATACTCAAAATGTTTAGTATAAAAACCGGTTCTATACTAAATTTCTAGGGCTGGGCATTTTGTTCGTTATATCAGCTAGTGATAACTCATTAAAAGCAATATTGTGTTTAATTTTATTTACATACTCATATTATAATTTATAGGTAGGTACAGTTATATTCATTCACTTGTATATAGGTACAAAAAGGACAAAAACACATAATCATTAGTGACGTTACTAATTACATAAAAATTATAAATTTATCACAAATAAATTTAATATATTATACGTCTATACTATGTTRCTACAATAATTTAAAACGTAAAATATTTTGTTAGGGAGAAAAATAGTAATTTTTACCTACTGTTAAACTTTTTGGTTTTTATTGTGCTATAATGTAATGGAATAAAAATAAATTATACAATAAGATTTGGTGTGAATTTGTGGTAATAGCCAATAAGGTTATAGGTTGATACGCACTGACTTTAAAATAATATATTATTATAAACGGTTTTTCATTATGGGCGTGTCGTTCACTTCCYCCGGTGTAGATGAGAAAGCGAGAGAAACGAACTACCAGAAAATCTATATTATCATTTTATAAAATAACGTAATTTCAAATTTGTACATACAATAAAAGCTAATTTTTCATCACAGCCACATCATTACCAGCTATTTATATTATTTMTATTATACGTTATGTACTTGCATGGTACATATTGTATTTAATTTTAGTAATTTTACATTTTTACTATGGACTATGATTACTTAATACTTATGATGTACCTACACGAACTGCAGTGTCAATTTAATAATGTGAAAATCATGTACGTGTACYTRCATAATGCGTACTGAATTTTGCATTGTACAACAGCKTCAGGCTATACGCCATTTCAYTCAGCWGTGTCACGAGTACAGCAGAGATCCGTTTCCGGTAATGTAATGCGCGAGCGTGTTTTATTCTAAAAAATTAAAAACATATATTTTACACACATACAATTATACATCATATTATTTAATATTACCTATATGATACATTGATATCTATTGGCTTTTACGTTTGATCCGAGATTATAATAATCTAACGCGGTATTGATTTCCTGTCAAAGTGATATTGGTGCTGAATATTTTGAATATTATTCRATATATCAAACGTATCTTCTGCCACCAAGACCGTCCAAAAAACTATAATAGAAACACATAATATGTGTATTTATATATTTTATATTGCATAATGATCATTTAAMACACGCTGTTGAATCAACAGGTATAAATCATTTTACCGGTAAAATAATATAGATGAAAAAAAAAAATACCTAATTTTTCTTTTATTAGAACTATTTACATAAAAAGGTGTACAATTAAAGCACAGCAATGTAGCAGCAAATATATTTTGGATAGATATACATAAACATAACCAATTGTTTTGTGTAATAAATTGTCAGATTTTATTTATTTCTACATTATCGATTGAAAGATGAAATACTTTTGTGGTTTTTCGTTACCA